ATTAAAAATATTAAATTTTTATAAAATTATGTTTTTATTGATTTCATACACGTTTTTCAAATCCTTGATTAAATGCTCAACGTCAAATATTTTTCAGAACTTTTTATATGTATATCTAATCTCTTTAAACTCTTTGGAGTGAAATCTCACTGTTAAAAATTGAAAATTGTATCTCTCTTTTCCAAGACTGGCTCAATTTTCCTTAGAGATTGCACTTTAAAAATTTTTAGAGAGAACGTATAATATTGTAATCTAAAATATCTAAAATATCTAAAATATAGGAAATATTCAATGTTAAATATATAAGATCTTCAATCGCACACACCTAGGAAACACGGTACCACGCATAAAATGCAAACAGAGATGTAGTAATAATCGCAAGAATTTTTTGCTATACCCACGCAATGTAAATGGTAAACGGTGCACAGAACGTGTCTTGGCAAGCTACGGTCAGCGCGTTGTCACGTCAGTCGATCTACGCGTACATACAGATAAGAATTGCAGAGTAATCTTATCTCCTTGCACGGCGGGTCTAACGATTAATAATTGGATAAATAATAAGGACTTCGAGAGGATTAATGTTACGTAATGCTGTTCGATAACAGAGCATGAGTTTCTACGCCCACGCATAATGCAGAGATCTTTCATTTTCTTCAATGCGCTTCGTTAGCCGAAAGTTATATCGCGCAAATTTCTTCTCTTCAATTCTCAGCGTTAAGATCCGATCTATATTATAACGTAGAAATTTGTTTTTCACATCATAAAAATAATATCTTTGGTATCTGAAAGTAAATACTGAGAAATCAGCTTTGAGAAGAGCTGCAATAAATAAACTTCTGCCTGTTTTACATATGGACTAATCTGTGTAATAAATCTGATTCTTCACGTCAGATCTATTATTAAATCATTCAATAAGGCATATTTCCTTATCAACACCCACAAGTCGTATTATATACAATATTCCGCGATAACACAATAACTCTTACGTTTTCTATTTATTTTTACTCGAGAATCATCTCCGTTTCGATCACAGAAGACATTAATTTAAATTTCTATGTGATCAACACATGACAAAAAACATTGATGAAGAACATGTTCTGTCGTAATCATTATTCTTAGCGAGAATTTATGTCCGTTTTTCTTTTTTTTTTACCCGTATGCTCTTTTTTTTTACCCGTGTTCTTCAAATTATCTTCGGCCACTGTAACAATAACTGCATGACTCTAATCGCTGAGTTCGCTTTCGCAGTCGCCAGGTATCAAGGAGATGGCAATGTTCTGTTAACGTCTGTAAAGTACATGTCTTTAGGTATATACGTGCGCTCATTTAATAGATAGCGTTGCCGCGCTCGCCTCCGCGTGGAAGACGCAACCGCCTCGCTCACCATACGACGATTACATCACGCGAATGATGTCACACACGCGAAATACACATCGTCGGCATCGGCGTCGCACTGGTCCCCGCAGAAGGGTGATTTAACGGAAAGGTAGACACTCGTTGACATTGGCGTATACGTCGACATGCGACACGGAATGCTTGTATACATGGTAAACTTGAAGCCCGTGCCAAGCAGACTTTCAACAATGAAAAGAGTAACTATGAAATAACTATGAAAATGTTAAATAAAATAATTTCAATCAAATGGTTGATTAATATAACTTTAAAAAATAATTTTAATTTTCTAAATGTTCAGGAAGTATATTCACCAATAATATAACTGTTTGATAATAATTACTAAATATTTATAGAAAAGTGAAATTATTTTTAATTATATTAATTAAACATTTGATTGAAATTATTTTACTCAACTTTTGGTAAATATTACTAAACTTTTTTCAGTGAATGTTTTAAATGTAGACATCAGAAATAAAGATCGATACAAAAATGGAATCACAATTATCTTTTTCTATCTCGTTAATAAAAAGATTTGCGAAGAGTATCAAAAATCTAGATTTATGCTAATATGGTAAATGTACTTATTAAATAAATTATTTGTAAACTATAAAAAAGTATATAAAATTAAAAGTATATAAAATTGACGATTTATAACTAAAATGTATATACGTTTCAAACATAAATCGCATAATTTTTATTCTTATTGTTTACATACACTTATACTTTTGCATTACACTTTACAGTATAACGGAATACAAAATACGAAATATAATAGTATGCGTTCTATAAATGCATTTTTGCAAATTTTTATATTTGGCATGCAAAAAATTATTTTCTAAATCTGTGATTGGAAATATGAAACCAAAAAATATTTTCTACAATTGCCTTCATGTTACAATTAATATATTGAAAAAAGAGGAAATGTGAATAAAAAAATGAAAAATAACTTCTAATCTTTTGCATATAAACATTAATTAACATCAATAAGCATTAATTACGTAATCGCGTTTTTCCTAAATTCATATATGGAACAGCGTTATCAACATTAAAACAAAACGATATAATGAAAGATAATTAACCGCATTGTCTAATTGACAATATAATGATCCATTGCAAACAATATTTACTAATTACTATCGATAACGCAATGAACAGTTGCATCTGCAGCTGCACGAGCTAGAGATATTGATCTTTTTTTCTTTAACGGACCAAATGTCACACAGCATATCGGACGTGCGAGAAGCTCAAGGAGAACTAGAGTAAAACAATACGATATCTAATTATGAAAACGACAAATTGAGAAGGGTAACTTCATGGTAAAGCCGGATGCAAACACGATTACGTCATCCTACTGAAATTAAAGACGCACTATCAACAAAAGTTATACAAACATGTATAAAAAAATTATAGTTATATAACACAATTTATAGTTATATAAATCTTATATTTTTATATGCTTTATAACATCACAATTTTTATTAACAATTAACTATACATTGACATTTTCAATTAACAAACATCCTCGAAGCTTATCGTCGTGCATAAAATTACACTGCTTGCTATCACGAATTTATTTATCTGACGAAGAAAAAAAAGGAGAGAAAAATTTAGGATACATTTTTGTATATTTAATCCTTTCTCAATCATTAATAATACCGATGAAGCGATAGACCGATCGCGACGAAATCGACGCGTTCTCTTCGAACGACGTTCAAAGCCTGGTGAACGCAAGCATGAATGGCATTCTTAAATGTCTGGACAGTCACTTACGTTGAATTAAGAGCAATTACGTGAGTGCCGTCATACTTAATGGCCGGCATAGTGGGAACATATATACAAATTAATGCCTTCGTATCTAGTGGGCGGGGTGAGATGAATCACAAAGTGAATGACACGATAATCGAGGAAGGTTAAGTTTACTGGCGGCACTTTCTACATGTTTTGTCTCCAAAAGAAGCAATTCGGAATGTAATCTCTTTCTTCAAAAAAGT